CTACCTTCCTCTTTGCTCTTCAAATGGCTTCCTTAGCTCCTCCTTCCCGCTATGTTCTTTCCCTACATTCCAACCTACTCCACCTTCTCACTGCCAGGATGCAGTAGGCACTCCAGAAACATGCATTAAATGAAAGGATAGCCCTAACTCTCCTAGGAAAATGTTATCCATCTCCATAGCTTCAATAATTATGTTAAACTGAATATCTAAATACCTATAACCCAACCTAATTTAAATATCTATCCCTAACTTAAATGTCTCACCTGGGCAACAAACCCGTGCCTCCATGAGCACCCTTATGTCAATACATTCACAACTAGACTTTCCAATAAGCAACAGGTTAATCACACATATGATCTCCTTTCCCTCCCCAGTCTCTGCTGAAGCATGGTAAGGAATTTAAGGGAGGGAAGAAGGGAGGGAGGATAGAAGGTACAAATCCATGAAGCAAAGAGAACAGAAGAGAACCCAATGGCTAACTAAAGATTTCCACACATTTGTGGAAGGTGTAATTAGGGTGGAGGTGAATTAGCTGAGTTAGGAAAGTACCACCGGGGACAGGACAGTAGTATGTAGTAATTTCTTCTCATGTCTAAAAATGTAAGTTGCAATTCTTAAAAAAATGTGTTTTTATTTCAGAGAGGAAAGGAAAGATAGAAACATCGATGATGAGACTCAGCTATCGGCTGCCTCCTGCACGCCCCCTGCTGGGGATCAAACCCACAACCTGGGCATGAGCCCTGAACAGGGAATTGAACTGTGACCTCCTGGTTCATAGGTCAACCCTCAACCACTGAGCTTTTTTTTTTTTTTCAATTGGCTGTTTCATGTACCGTTTTTCTCTTTCACCAGTTAACAGTTTCTGAATGCTGAATTAGATACTGAAAAAAAGAAAAAGAACTGTCAGAACCGGTTTGGCTCAGTGATAAGAGCGTCGGTCTGCAGACTGAAAGGTCCCAGGTTCGATTCCGGTCAAGGGCATGTACATTGGTTGCGGGCACATCCCTGGTAGGGGTTGTGCAAGAGGCAGCTGATCGATGATTCTCTCTCATCGACATTTCTAACCCTCTCTCCCTCTCCCTTCCTCTCTGTAAAAAAAACAATAAAATATATTTTTTTTAAAAAAGAAAAAGAACTGATTCAGCCTCAGCTTACAGAACCCTGGAAGGCCATACGGAGGCCCGGGTATGAAAGAGAACAGAGCTACGCACCAGGTGGACTGAGACAGGTAGTTTACATAATGGGCTGTGCCACCCAGGGCCGCCTTTCCAGGCTCTTCTCAGGAAAACTGGCAGCTGCTATATTCCCCAGGATGATTCAACTTTCTCTAAGAAACTGACTAGCTTAAGGGGAAAACTCCTGGTATGTGGAGGCTCCCTCTACAAAATGTACCATCAGCAAGCACCACCTGTGCCTACATAGCTCCATTCAGCTTTTGTTGTTGTTGTTGTTAATCCTCACCAGAGGATATTTTTCCTCAGGTGATTTTAGAGGAAGTGGAAGGGAGGAGGAGAGACAGATTATATATATAATTGTTGACAGTATTACAGATGTCCCCCCCCCTTCTCTCCTTCTCTCCCTTCTCTTTATATCCTCCCCCCTACTTTTCCCCACCCCCCACAGGCCTTCACTACACTATTGTCTGTATGCATGGGATATGTATATATGTATAAAAGTTTTTTGCTTATTCTCTTCTCATCTCCCTACTCCCCTCTGTTTGCTCCATGTTTGAGCCTATTTTGTCAGTTTATTATGCTCATTAGATTCCACATGTAAGTGGGATCATGTGATATCTGTCTTCCTCTGGCTGGCTTATTTCACTCCGCATAATATTCTCCAGGCCCATCCATGCTGTAGGGCAGAATTCTTAAGGACACCCCTTTCCCATCTCAGCCCAGACACCTGCTCCTCTCACATCTTCCAATTTCTGTTCTAATTATCATCATTTCACCCAGCTGATCAGGCCTAAGAACTAGAACTCTTATCTGAGTTTCCCGCCTTCCCCCACCTTGAGAGCTAACGTTAGCAGTCCTGTTTGCTCTACCTGCAAAATACATCCCATCCACCTCCACGTTTTACCAGGTCACTGCTGCCGACAGACTCTAAAGGGTCCCTTTCCTGGAGACTGCAAGACACTCCCAGTTAAGTCTCCCCTGCTCTGTGTCTCCGTCTCCAACAGGCCGACTTCCTCACAGCAGCCGGAGCATCTCAACTACACACCAGATCGTATCAATTCCCCGCTTAACACCTTCCAGAGACTTCCCAATACAATTAGAATAAAATCTGAACTACCGGACTCAGGATTATATATGAGCAGGCCTGCCGACTTTCCAACCTTAACTCCTACTGTTTCCCCCATCACTCTCTCCACTCCAGGCAAGCTGGCCTTTTTCAAACACACCAGATTCATTTACTAGCTGTTCCTTCTCCCCCCAGATTTTATTTTAGCAAGGCTCGCTCAGAATGTTACCTCCTCAGAAAAGCCCATCATCTAGAGCAGACCCTTCTTCTCCACCCAGGCATTGTTTATCCCAGTGATTTTCAACCCTTCCATCTCTTAGCACACATGCACTCATTACTAAAATTCTGTGGCACACCAAAAAAAATTTGCCAACCTGACAAAAAAGAAAAAAAGATAAAATTTCCATTCATGTCCACTATTGTTGAGTTGGCTGTTTTCATTCTTTTATTTGACAATCTAGGGGGAAAGAAGTCAATGCCTCTGACTAGAGAGAGTCAGGTATTGCATGTTTTAAAAATTCTTGCAGCTCACCAGTGTGCCTGCCAGGGCACACTGGTTGAAACTCGCTGGTTTATTATGCCATTGCCCTGTTGTATTTTCTTTAGCACATACAGCCAAAAATACATGATTGGTTTACATGCTTAATATCTATTTCCTATCACTGTCATGGGTCCCCTCAGGTCAGCAGGGCCCCTCCCTCATTCATAGCAGCTGGAATACTAGCTAGCACATAGCAGGTATTCAATTTTACTTAATATGAAGAAAATGAAAATAAAAGTACTTTTACTATTAGCATAGGGGGAAATGAAAATCTACCCTAGCACTGATATGTTAACTTATTTTTGATATATCATCAGTCAAGACTGGTATCTTAACCAGTCAGTTATTATGGAAATCAATTATCACTAAAAAAAATATTGGTACTTTGTATCAGGATTATCATTATATAAAAAAGGAAACAAATTTGCCTTTTAGATACTTTCCCCAAGATAATTTTCTAAATCAGATAAGGTACTGAACGCTGAGAACAAGTGAGGCACCTTCCAGATAAGCAGACATGAAGCCAGGCCTCAGACTTGCTCTACAATATGTGAGAGCAAGTTGGATCTTGGATTTGCTGCTATAGGTTACCAAGACATTTAAGAGCAGTTCCAATCAGAGTTGTAGTAGAAGTCAAAGAGCTATCTTGAAAATCACAACAGAGAAGAAAAAAAAAATCACAACAGAAATCTCAAATGTTGTAATGTAGTGTGCAATGCCTAAACTATCAAGTATATTGATTTTAAGAAAAACTGATTCAAGTTAAAAACACTAACCTCCTGGTAATCAGGCATGTTGATTGGTTTGAAAAAAAATTAGGTCTTAATAATAGATAAGTTTGGTAGTCAAAACCTTTTTAAAATGTACCACTGGAGTAGCAAAGCAGGACCTTACACACCCACAGGACCACGTCCGAAATTTGCAGAAAAGCCATTGTAGTCTGCCCCCTGCTTTGTTCCCAGCCACTTTTCACATTCCCATGAGTGTGGTCAGCCTCAAAATCATCTAGAAAATCCCTGTGTAATGTTTAAGAGCTCAAATGTAACTTCCTTTGTAATCTTTGTTAATCCATTCAGAGGCTGAATTATCTCTTACCTATGTTCCCAGATAAACACTGAAAATAATTTTTAAGTCTTAAAAAAAAAAAGTTTCTCTCTAGCAGATTTGGCTCAGTGAATACTGCATCGACCTGTGGACTGAAGGGTCCCGGGTTTGACTCTGGCCAAGGACACATGCCTGGGTTGCAGGCTCAATCCCCAGTAGGGGGTGTGCAGCAGACAGCCAATGAATAATTCTCTCTCATCATTGATGTTTCCATCACTCTCTCCTACTCTCTCTCTGAAATCAATAAAAAAAATATTTTTAAAACATTTACATTTAAAAATCTATGTTTTCATTGATTTCAGAGAGGGAGAGGGAGAGGGGGATAGACACCAATGATGAGAATCACTGATCAGTTACCTTCTGCCCGCCGACTGCTGGGGATGGAGACTACAATCCAGGCATGTGCTCTGATTGGGAATCAAACCTTAACCTCCTGGTTCATGGATCGATGCTCAACCACTGCACCACACTGACTGGGTTGAACATAATTTTAAGTGTAGTATATTATAGTATTTATTCTGCTTTGTTTTCCTGGCTAGGCTGTAAATGCTTGCTCAATTAAAGAAATATACAATTTAAATTCATAAATCAATATGCAAAGCATCTGTCAGAGGAAATATTCAACTATTATTGGTCAAACTCATTAATTACTGATAGAATGAGAAGTCTTATTAGGATTATGTTTATAGTTAAATGGTGCCTAAATGACTTAATCTACTGTATGGAAGGTTTCTTAGATATAACAACTGTATCTAAAAGCCCAGAATTCAGGCCTATGCACACTATGTTTTTAACACACAAGTTTTTTGCTGCCCTGGCAAATTCTTCATTCTTTCTATATAGTGACTTTACTCAAGTAGAATGACCATCTGTAAGTTTCATTGTAACTAAGAGGTTCTGAGAAAAATGGTCACCTCTCTAAATCTTTCCGCTATTTTGGTTCAACAAAATAGAACTTTCCTAGATTTCTGATGACATGAATACCCTTCAAAGATCCTATTGCTGTTTTCTTGCAATGATCAACACCACTGCAGGTAAATCATAAAAAAAACTTGGCAAATGACTAAAATAGCAGAAACATGAAATATAAATAGTCACTTTTAAATGAACTTACTGATTTATATTGCCACAACAAATTTTCATTTCCTGATGATCCCCTAAAAAAGATACAGGTCTTTAAAATTTAATAAAAAGTACTAAGTGATATTTTAGTAATCTTTTGAACTATTATGCTTAACATTTATTAATAAAATCTGTGCTCTCAACTTAGGTAAAATATCACTTATCATTGAATATTAAAATGCAATGTACTGATAATCACAGTATATATTTGTACAAAATACAGCATATTATTAGTGTCTCAAGATTACTACCCTGTTTCCCCGAAAATAAGACAGTGTCTTATATTAATTTTTGCTCCCAAAGATGTGCTAGGTCTTATTTTCAGGGGATGTCTTATTTTTCCATGAAGAATACTGTACACATTTATTGTTAAATGAAAATAAAGAAAATTTATTACCTGTATACAGTACGGTAGTACGGTAGTTGTCAACACAAACCAGACAAACTGTGAGTCCTACAGTATCAAGAATTGACTCATTTATTCAATGACAATCATGTCATCATCTTCTGGAACATCATCATAACAATCCAATTCCTGAATTTCCTGGTGAATTTCTTGTGACTCCATTTCTTTCAGAATCAGTGGACCAAATCTCTCATGTTTAGCAATAGCATTCTGAGACAGAGCCGAGGGGGGGGCCTTATTTTCAAGGGGATGCCTTATATTTCACTCAGAAGGAAACCTGTAAGTAGGTCTTATTTTCGGAGGATGTCTTATTTTCGGGGAAACACGGTAATTATCTAAGATCCAGAGGACAAAATTATGTTTTTAAATTTCCTTTCAAAATCCCAACCCTCATTTATTATAAAACTGCCTTCAGCTGGTTATTTAAAAATATTTACATCGAGAAAAGCCATCAAACAAAACTACTTTTGATTACTGTAAGATTCTAACACTTTCATTCTTCTGAGTTATCTTGAGCACCCACTTTAGAAGTGCTTGTTTGAATTATTTAACCTTAATCTTATTATGTTTATAAGCATAAACACAAATAACAGAGTACAAAAGGACACAAGAAATATTGTTGGCTTTATTGGTATCACAGTGGTTTGATTGATTGATTGATTGATTTTGGTATCACAGTGGTTTTAATCCAAGCTGAATACAAACACAATTGTTAGTCAGACACTTATCCTTCAAAACAATATGACAAGATCAACCTTGAAGCATTTAAAAATGTGAAAATGTGTAAAATATCTTCCTTAATAAATTCTAAGGACTTTATATATAAATGCAACAATTTGAACTTGTCAGTAATCACATCAAATGTTGAACTACCAATGAGCAGTTAAAAAAAAAAACACACTTTTGATTTTTAAATTAAATATCTACAGATAAAAGCATGCAAATTCCCACATCTACTATCTTTGTATTGTGCACAGAGTTCCAAGGCAAAGATTGTTTCTGGCTTTATGAATTATCAGAGATGAAGGCCTGTGTGGCTGACTTGTCACAGGCCTTTTAGTCTTTTTTCCGGATAGATCCTTGGCTTCTTTGGGAGGAGGCATATGAACTGGTTTCCAGGGAATTGGATTATAGAAGGCTGGTTCTGGATAAGAATTTCCATTGTAAAAACCTAAATTATTAAAAAATCAGAACAAAACAAGAAAAACAAAACTTGAGACAAAAAAAACTAACTGGTTATTTTTAAATTCCTAAAAAAATGTTAAAATATCAAAAGGGCAAAAATATCATTGATAAATCAATTTGACTCAATTAAAATGAACTGTTGAATACTTCCCAATAACTTTCCAAATACAGTAAATATTGCAGTACAAATTAACATGTAAATAATAATTCTAAGAGTCCAAAGAAATGTTAATGTTAAAAATCTATATTAAAATTTTACTAAGATTTTAAGTTTAGAACCTTTAAACTGAACAAAATCTTCATTTTTCTACCTGAAACTGGAAAATCACTGACTGTATACTAGTATTTTTAATAATAAATCACTAACTAAACACTAAAGTTTCAGAAAAAATCTCACATTGCATATGTAGCTAAAGTGAGTCAGATTCCTATTTAGAATCACTGAAATTCTAAATCACTGTGGTTCTCACCAGTTTCTCAGTGGTTAAAGCATTGGCCCGCAGACTGAAGGGACTGCAGGTTCAATTCCAGCCCTTCTATCACATCAGTATTTCTCTCTCTCTCTCTGCCCCTCCCTTCCACTCTCTCTAAAGATCAATGAAGAAAATACCCTCAGATGAGGATTAACAAACAATAATAAATACATAAATTGCTGTCACACAAATTATTAAGATTTCATAGTATCACTGTAATTTTTATTAATTATGGAATGTACTATTGGTAGGATGTTATAGGAAACTATGTCCCCTAACTAGTAATTCTGGAGGAGGAACATTTTGTTAACCGGATTCAAATCCTGCAGTCACTATATGCACATAAATTCCTTTATTTCACAATTTATAAAAATGATATGGGCATTAAGAATAGAGATGTAAGGGCATTTACAGACAAATATGATGCTTATTAGAATAAAACTCATTAAAAGCAACAAAAAAAAAACATTATTTTAGCAATTCACTTCTAGTCAACATGTATATTCCCTCCTAAAGTTTTATCTTAACTGCCCAATTGTTTGGTTAAAACCACTGCTTATCGCAATTTGATTTTTTTTTTCAGAGAAAGAAAAACCATGGGGCAGACCGTGCTCAGTAGCTATAGAGGATGACCTCTGTGACATGTAGGAGAGGCCCGATCCTGACAGCAGGAATGTGTCATTCAGACACTGGCAACCCACTCGGCCTGCATAGATATGTCAACACACACTTCACCAACATGGTCAAAACAAAGTCTGGAATATGTTCTATTGTGTGAACAGAACAGAATGGGGGTATTTTTAATAATAAATCACTTAAACAAGTGAAGGCAGCTGTCAGCAGGGTATGAGCTTCCAACATGAAGCACAAAGAAAAACATGCACCACCATTTGTAATCAGACCAGCCTGAAGGCCAATCAGACCTGCTTCATGTGCTGTCTAGTACTCCACCTGCAGAAGGAATGTGTCAAACCTTTGGGAGCTCTGCCTCAAAACGCGTTAGAAGAAGGGGAGGGAGGAAAACTCACCCCTTAAAAATGTCCGTTTAAGGCTTTATAATCCAAAAAACATGAAAATGTCACTTGTTTCTTTTTAAAAATTTTTTTATTGTTGAAAGCATTACATGTCTTCCTTTACCCTGCATTGATGCCTTCTAGTCCGCACCTGCCCCCCGCCCCAGGTCTCACTACACTATTGTCTGTGTCCATGGGTTTTGCATATATGCATATAAATTCTTTGACTAATCTCTTCCCACCCACTCCTACCCTTCCCCTCTGATAGTCAATAGTCTGTTCCATGCTTCTATGTCTCTCGATCTATTTTGTTCATCGATTTACTTTGTTCACTAGATTCTACGTATGAGTGAGATCATGTGATACTTGTCTTTCTCAGACTGGCTTTTTTCACTTAGCACAATACTCTCCAGGTCCCTCCATGCTGTCTCAAGGGGTAGATCTTTCTTTTTTACTTTGCAGTTTTGCAACTATTGCCTTTAAATATATATCTAATTTATACAGAATGACAATAAATGTGTAGTATTCCACAGGAACATGGTGTATTATAATATAATCTTCCAGAAAATAGTTATTTGAAAGAAAAATGATTTTTACACATTTCTATTTCTGTCAAGAGAAAAGATAATGTATAATATTTACTTCTGCAAGTCATATTTATGTAAGCCACATAACATAAAAACCAACCTGTAAGTTTTCCATTGACATAACCATAGCTTTTTGCAGCTGGACGAGGTTTATTTTTTGAATTTTCCAACCATTCCTTAAACTTTCTTTCTGCTATTTCTTTCTTTTCCTGTAATTCAGCTTGACGTTGTTTTTCTTTTTCCTTAAAATGACAAGACCAAAGAATCTCCAGGGATATTCTGTAACTAAATATTGTACTGACTTTTCCCCAGCAGCTTCCCACCCAATGGCTTACTGATGATAAGTATTAAATCATATTTCTCTAATTTAAGAGCAAAATTAAACATGATCAGGGATATGGTATGGAGACATCAAACCCAAGAAGAAAAAAGCAATTTACTGTTTTAAAATAGAATAGTAATTTACAATGTAATAAAAATACCACCAAAATTTAGCATTAACAATGATAAAATGTTTGAACCTAACTGAAAAAATATCAACAGGCTTATTAACATTTATCAACCTAAGAAAAACCAAACTGCATAATCATTTCTAAAGCTTAAGAATAGTATAATAAGTAGGGATAGCTTCATGTATTTATTTTATACTAAGATAGTGCCAATTTTCTATTAGAAACTTATATTACAAACACCAAGTAATGCATTCTAACTGGTTAAATACCTTTTCTTTCTTCTTCTTCTCACATTCTTCAGCATTTTTTTTCTTTAACCATTCTTGATATTTTTCTTTTGCTTTTTCTTGCAAATGTTCTTTCTCCAGTTCCTTTGCTGCTTTTGCTTCCATTTCTTTATTAATTTTTTGTTCCCTTTCTTTCCTTTTCTTAAATAAAAGTAAAGGAATTTTAATTGGAATGTTTGTAATTATCCTCATATGAGGATGGAGTATTATCTACAGTAATCTTCTAAATTTGTGTTATTTCTTAAAATAGATGGTAACATAGTAGTTGACACTTACATGGTTTGTGAAAATATATAACATACCTGCAATTACCTGGTCAATTTTAGTTTACCAATTTGGCTGTAAGATTAATTATGGCAGTAAGAAAATCTTGTTCACCAAAGTATACTCAGACCTTGAGACAGTGCTGAGTAAACAATACATGCTCAATAAGGATTTGAATAAATTAGTGAACAGAAATTATAACCTGTTACATTGCTCTGAATGTTTGTTTTTTAATGGATGTTTACCCTCTAAAATAGGAGCCACCAATGTACACATTCTTGGACAGTTTGACAATATGAATACTTGGATAAATCTTCACCATTAGTGAGTTACAGAGAACAAAAAAATTGGCCCACTAAATATTGCTATAGGAGCATATACAGACAAAT